AATGTTCGACGTGACATATAGCCAAGGAAGTAGTTGTTTTCTGTTGAATAAACCGAGAAAGAATTGATATTTCCATCATATATATAATGCAAATTCTCAATGTATTTCTCTATATATATATCCAGTTTTTTGTGATCATAAATATATCTGAGAATATTCATTTTCAATATATATTGTATTGAATAAAATGATTTTAGGAATTGATTATTTTGTTGCCGAAATCAATGAGCTTATAGGATTCCATCTTAAGCTTAACATATTTATAAATCGCAATTTACATCGTTCATTTCAGACCGAACATGGCAAAGCTGGCTTTAACCCTGCTCTTCGCCCTGGTGGCCCAAATCAGCGCCGACGGCGTCTACACCCAACGCTTCCTCCAACAGTACAACAAAATCCACTCCTCCTCCAGCGGTTACTTCTCAAAAGACGGAGTACCCTACCACGCGGTCGAAACCCTCATGGTCGAAGCTCCCGATTACGGTCACGAAACCACCTCGGAAACCTACAGCTACTACATCTGGCTGGAAGCCATGTACGGCGCTATCAAGAATGATTTCAGCTCGTTCAACCAAGCCTGGGAGAACATGGAAGCGTTCATGATCCCTGTGCACGACAGTCAGCCGACCAACAACTTCTACAACCCCTCTCATCCAGCTACGTTCGCTGCTGAGCTAGACACCCCTGACCAGTACCCTTCTCTGGTCGACTCTGCCGTGCCAGTGGGCCAGGATCCCATCTCCCAGGAGCTGTCCAACGCTTACGGCACCAATGACATCTACGCCATGCACTGGCTGAGTGACGTGGATAACATATACGGTTTTGGTAACACCCAGGGCAACTGCAATGGGGGTCCTGCGGCTTCCGGGCCCAGTTTCATCAACACTTTCCAGCGAGGTTCGCAGGAATCCGTGTGGAAAACGATCCCGCAACCATGTTGCGATAACTTCAGGTATGGTGGTCAGAACGGTTACCTGGATCTCTACACTAAAGATAACAGCTACGCCAAGCAATGGAAGTACACTGCTGCTCCAGACGCTGATGCCAGAGCCGTGCAAGCTGCTTTCTGGGCTTCCAGGTAAGAAAGAAAGAGAGAGAGTATTTCATCTACTAACTGCATCAAAAGTGAGCGTAAGATTCCGGGAACAAAAATAGTAAAAATAGTTCACATGAACATAAGTCCAGAAAAAGCTACCTGGATAGTTATAACCATCTGAAAATGGGGCCAAGATGATGGTTTTTTGTAAATATTCATGAAACCCTCTATGATGAGATGACGAAATTTTGTACCGGGTGAACAACTAAGATCGACTGTCGGCCATTTCACAGCAACGAATAATGATACAAGTTTGAGATAGAATAAATCTAATGGTATGCATATTATTACACGATGTGATAGAGAAATTGAATCTCAAAAGACCAATGAAAACCGCAACATGATAGCTTTTCGCCAACGGAAGATATTAACTATCAAAGTTGGAAGAATGATAGATATGACAGCCGTTCTTAGTTGTTCACACAGTACATGTATATAACTTTTCATGCCCAATTTGAAAATGTTGAGAAGAACTTTTGCTAAGGGGCGTGAGAAATAAGTGGATATAGAGACATTTCTTCCCATAATTTTTTTATGCATTATCGTCGGTTTGACCGGAATATATAAAAATGTCATCATTATTACGTGTTTAGTTTCAATAGCACATTTTAAAAGTCTGCGTAATTAAAATAGTACTTTTCCTTCATAGGGTATTTTCCATCGAAACGCAATTTTTGGAAAAATTTGGTACCCTATTATGAGAAAGAAGCACTATTTTTGTTACGCAGCAGACTTTTAGATTCGATTTATCTAGAAAATGATGAGTGCTATCAAAACTAAACAGGAGGATTATCATCAAGTTGACTTTTTCATATTTCCTTGTCAAACTGACGAAAATTGCATAGAAAAGAAGTTGGGGACAGAAATATCCCAAGCCCTACCAATTCCCTTGCAAGAGTACAACCAGTTCCTGAAGAAGGCAAAAACACCATACCTAGCAACCACAGACCGATCACACTGCTATCTATCATTCCAAAGATCATGGAGAAAGCTATCAACATCGAGCTCATGGAATACCTGGAACATTCAGGTATTATCAACGATAGGCAATATGGCTTCCGTCATCAGAGATCAACTGGTGACCTGCTCGCTTACGTCTCACATATATGGCAGCAATATATTGAGAAATATGGTGAAACCTTAGCCGTGGCACTTGATATCTCCAAAGCTTTCGATTGAGTCCGGCACCACGGACTCCTCGCCAAGCTTCCATCTTATGGCTTGCCTCCCCAGCTATGTTCTCTGCTAGCTAGTTTTCTCTCAAACAGGTCTCTCCTTGTAGTGGTCGACGGAGTTTCATCTGACTCTCTTATCATAAATGCTGGATCAATGCAAGGATCAATTCTAGCACCAACACTACTTCTACTCCATATCAACGATTTGTTGAAAGCAACTTCATGTCCAGTACACAACTTCGCGGATGATAGTACCCTCCATACCGCCTTCTCTTCCAGGGCTCCAATACCAGACAGGCAAATCAGAAACGAACGAGGGAGAAATGTTGACAGCATGAATATGGACTTGGCAACAATTCTCGAATAGGGATCCAATAACTTGGTAGATTTCAATGCAAACAAAACACAAACATGCCTTTTCTCTAGAAAAGCCGATCTCACTGTGCCAAACATAAGCTATTCAGGAGTAACCATACCTTTGAATCCATTTCGATGCTTGGTATTACTATCAGCAATAACCTTTCTTGGGAAAATCACGTGAGATCAATTGCTAAAAGTGCATCCCAAAAACTTGGTTTTCTGTTTCGGGCCAGGAGCTAACCCACTTCCAGTCAGCTGCTTATGATCTATTAGGCACAGATCCGACCTGTCCTGGGATACTGTTCCCATATTTGGAGTGCAGCACCCAAACATACCCTGGAACTGTTGGATTCTGTCTAAAAAAGGGCAATTCGCCTCGTGGGTGATGCCTCGCTCACAAACTCACTCACTTCTCTGGAACACCGAAGAAAAGTTGTCGATCTGGCTCTATTTCATAGATATTTTCATGAACGATGTTCTTCTGAAATAACAACAATTGTTCTTTCCTTGGAAATCCCTGCGAGATTAACCCGTCGAGTTGAGGCTTCGCACCCCTTCGTGGTCACTTTGGAGACCTGCAGAACATCTTTTTCCAGAGACTCGTTCATCCAACGAACAGCGAGGCTCTGGAACACATTGCCAAGGGAGGTGTTCTCCGAGGCATATAACCTCCAGAAATTTAAGAAGAACACCAAATCCTACCTTATTTCCCTTGGTTCTCACGATGTTTTCTGATCATTACAGGACATTCCTTTTCGTGGGAACCAGAACATAAGAAAAAAATTTACAGGATTCCTTCATCTTATCATAGAGGGTTTTGGAAATATTTACAAAAAAACATCATCTCGGACGCTCTTTCAGGTGGCTATAACTCCACAGAGGATCATTTATGGGCTAATGTTCATATGAACTTTTTTCACTATTTTTGTTCCTAGAACCTGTGGTTGAAATGTTTTTATTCGATCTCAAGATATTCGATTCGCATCACACTTGATGCGGCTCTCACGTTCCTGGAGAGGTTACATAATGCTTTGGAATCCAAAGAGTTTCCACTTGGAATATTCTGTGACCTCTCCAGGGCGTTTGACTGTGTCGATCATTCAATACTATTAAATAAATTAGAATTCTATGGAATACGAGGGACGGTCAGAAATTGGTTTGAAACTCATTTGCATGATAGAGAAATGTTGGTTAGAATAGAACACAAGGATCATAACAACTTCGAGTATTATCAGTCAGAAAGGGGCCACATAAAAAGTGGTGTGCCTCAGGGTTCTATCCTCGGACCAACATTGTTTATCATCTACATTAACGACATAGTCTTTAACTTTCCCGAAATCTCTTTCTCTATTTTTGCTGATGACACTAGCATTATCATCAGCGGCCATTCAGTTGATGACCTCACCTCAAAATCACAAAGTGCGATGGACGGTATAGCAGACTGGTTTTCATCAAATAAGTTATCATTGAATATATCTAAGACTCAACAGATACTGTTTAACCCTTATAGAAATTTCCAAGATGTTGAGGTAACTCTGAACGATGAAGCAATCTCTTCGAACGAATCAACTAAATTTCTAGGGATCACTATTGATATGAAACTAAATTGGATGGAACACATAAAGCAGCTGAATACCAAACTGAACAGAGCAACTTTTGCATTGCGAACTGTCCAAGCGAACACAAACTTTCAAGTCTCGAAAATGGTATATTTCGCATATTTTCACAGCCTGATGCAATACGGAATAGAATTCTGGGGTAATTCTGTAGGTTCCCAAACCACGTTTATAATTCAAAAACGAGCCATCCGTACTTTGTTCAAATTGAACTATCGAGAATCTTGTAGAGAGTGTTTCCTTGAAAATAAGATATTTACTCTGACAAACACATTCATATTCAAACTTGCCCTTCTGATCCATAAAAAACGTGATGTTCTTCAACATTCAGATCATCGTCATCAGTACATGACAAGAACCCATAAAATAAAATTGCCCAACTACAGGTATGAAAAAACTCGTAATGGACCCCTGTACACGGGAATAAAAATTTATAACCATTTGCCCCCTTACATGAAGGAACTATCAATAAGAAAATTCAAACACTCACTGAAGGATTTATTGCACCACCATGTATGTTATGATTTAAATGAATTTTTCGCAATACCGCTCCCGCAGTCATAAAAAGAATGTCCATCCTCTAGTTTTTAAGTAGTTTTAAGTAATATGATATCATGTTAAAAAAAAAAAAAAACAATATTCAGCAGTAGTAGCAATCACGCTGCAGTTATCAAATGTATAGAGCTTAGACTTTTTTTCATTATCAAATAATTTTGTTAAATGACACTAATCTTTCCTTATGCCAATGGCTAAATGTACACCTGTTCTGTGTATATTGGAAATAAATGTACTTACTTACTCACTTACTTCAATCTTTGCAGATGGGCACAACAAAACGGCCAAACCGCCTCCATCACAAACACCCTCAACAAAGCTGCCAAACTCGGTGACTACATCCGTTACGCCTTCTTCGACAAGTACTTCAAGAAGATCGGCAACTGCGTCGGACCATCGACTTGCCCAGGCGGCTACGGAAAAGACGGCGCCCACTACCTGCTGGGTTGGTACTTCGCCTGGGGCGGAGCTCTCGACACCCAAAACGGCTGGGCTTGGAGGATCGGAGATGGTTCGGCTCACTTCGGTTACCAGAACCCTCTTACCGCTTACGCTCTTGTTAACGAACCCAGCCTGAGACCTAAAGGTGCCACAGCAGTCTCCGACTGGCAGATCTCCCTCGACAGACAGCTAGAGTTCTACGAATGGCTGCAGACTGAGGAAGGAGCCTTCGCCGGTGGTGCAACTAACAGCTGGAACGGCAGATACGATACCCCACCTTCCAACCTAACCGGCAACACCTTCCACGGCATGTACTACGACTGGGAACCAGTGTACCACGACCCACCCTCCAACAGGTGGTACGGTATGCAGCCTTGGTCAGTTGACAGACTCGCTCAGTTGTACTACGTCAGCGGTGACAGCAGAACGAAGAACTTGTTGGACAAATGGGTCAAGTGGGTGCTTTCCGAGATCACCTTCCAAGGCAACCAGTACTCCATCCCCGCTACCCTTGAATGGGACGGTGTTCCTCCCAATGTTCACGTTAGAGTGACAGCGCACACCAACGATGTGGGTACTGCCTCAGCTACTGCAAGAGCTCTGGCCTACTATGCCGCTAAATCTGGAGATACGAATGCCAAGACAGTGGCTAAGCAGCTCTTGGACGGTATGTGGGAGTTGTACCAGACCGACAAGGGAGTGTCCAACTCTGAAGTTGCCGATACTTACAACCAGTTCCAGCATGAGGTGTATGTGCCTCCAGGTTGGTACGGCCAGTATCCCAATGGAGATGTCATTCAAGCACCGGCTACTTTCATTGGGCTCAGGTCTTGGTACAAGAAGGATGCTGCGTGGCCTAAGGTGGAGGCACATTTGAACGGTGGACCGGCTCCTGAGTTCACATTCCACAGGTTCTGGGCCCAAGCTGATGTTGCTTTGTCACAGGGTACTTACGGGATGCTTTTCAATGAATGAGTATTTGTTATATAGTTAAATAAAATTGTGATTGTTTACTAGTACAGTATTTTATTCAATAGTACAATGACATTTGGAATATAGTGTCACGATAGGAAGCAAACATATTTTATCTACTCACTGAGTCGAAAGTAGTCGTTTACTTCCTTATTTGAGGAAACAAAGTGGTCAATTTACTCCCACGGGAGGAAAAAAATATTAACTCCCGTGGGAGGTAAAATGAATTGGCTACAGCATGCACCCTTTGGCGTCAAAATCCAAGTAATCAATATCTTTTTTTTTAATGACTCGGCCGTTACTTGATGGAGATCAATGACAAATGTAAAACTTCACAAACGATAAGATTTCCACAAAATTCTCAAACACACGACATGTTTCGCTAACACAGTAGCTTCGTCAGGTGATCTACTCAGGACATTGAATTACATCCTCCCGAAATCTACGCATCGACTCGTATAAACGAATACTGATACAAGTAATCACTTGTATCAATGAGAGGAGTAATATTCGACTCGAAAATGACCTTCAAACATCACATAATAGAAACATCATCTCATGCTCGTAAAATGCTAGGCTTCTCCCTCCGTTCTGCTAAAGAACTATCTGTTAATGCTGTTTATAGGTATTTGTGTATTTAGAGCGCAAAGTGATAGATTGCCGCTCGACAAAGAAAGTTAGCGCGCGATGCGGAGCGGAGCGCGGTAATCATTGGAGAGCGGCAATGACACTTTGTGCTCGAAATACACACAAGATTTTTTCTACTAACGCAGCTTTTGGAAATAACTACCCTGAAAGAATGAGCGATTGAAATAGTTGAGGAAGTTCTTATCCATATTATCCCATATGTCCAAAGGAAACAAAAAAAGAAAAATTGAAATAACTGACAAGCCAGAAAAAAAATGTCGGGCCTACCGAGAATTGAAACTGGACCACCAGCGTGGCAACCTGAGCTTCAGACCTCTGAGCCATAGTACGATAAACTCTGCAATCAAATTGAACATTACTCATTGATGCAATAAAATAAAGATACACTGTCTTTCTGATGACAACAAAGAGTTTAAATAAATATAAAGTATAATTCATCGTTTTCAATAGATATGCTCCATCGGGAGCTTCTTGTAGAAATTTGTTGGTATATATATATCTTCAGCGGTGAATGTTTTGGATTTTTCTCGCTTTGTATCCAATTGATTGTTCCTTGAGAACTGCGATAAGTTTCAGATACCTATTGATTCCGATATTATCTCTAACATTCAAGCATGTATACGTATACCTTCGAATATATAGACCAATAAGTTGATGACTTCAAAGTCTTTGATATTCTACCAAAATAAGCGAGTGAAACGTTTTCTGAATTCATATTCACCATCTCGGAGTGGCACCATAATTTATGAATGTATCATATTGTAATTCATATTTCTTCCTTGATTTCTCCGGTAAGAGATTCAAACTCTTGCGCTTTCTGCTATATCATTAGGAAGGAGGTGTGTTTGATGATTCACTGTCACTATTTTCCATCATGAAAGAATTGGGGGTTTTCAAGAATAGATAAGTATAGGTTACAGAGATGTGCGAGCGTGTTTTCAATATTTCCGGTCACGAGCGCAAATGCTGTCAAAGAATGAAATTTCTGGGAAAACGTCAACTTTGTGCTGGAATTTGAAAGCGTCAAAGGCAACTTTGTTAAGCGTTTGTAGAAAATAGTAATTTTCCTAACAAGTGCGGAAAGTGATTCTTTCCCGCACGCGACTGCCGTTGACACGAACGACGCGAAGCGGAGTTCGGGCAAGCAGTCGAGTGCGGGAAAGACACTTTCCGCATGAGTTAGGAACAATATTTTTTCTTCAAGCGTAGGAAATTGATTGATTCGTTCAATTAATTATTCAAGCAAATAGGAACAACTAACAAGAGATATATATTCTCTATCTACTAATTATTAGTAATAGCTATTGTGAAACTTACAGTTTGACGCATTATGTTGGTTCATTGCGGAAGCCAGCAGGCCCATAAGTAGTTTGGTCTCTGGGTTTCAGACACTTATATGAAATGAGCCAAAAATACCTATTCTTCATTCGGTATTTTCATTTCTTTATTGTTGCACCAAAACGCGTGTATAGCTTCTCATATGTTTCTTAAGACTTCGTTGGTGATAACGCATCTGTATCGAATTCCTATAGCTAGAAGTTTTTGATCACATTGTGGCATTTCCACTGAATCGAAAATGACAGTACCGCTGTGTCTGTCACTTCGACAATTTCAAACTTATTTGAGGTTTGATTGGCATGACAACAATAATCGTTTCCTGTCAGATCAATCCAAATCTATAGGGGGATTTTTATAATAATCAATTTTTATTTCTCAATATTTCTTAATTTTTACAATAAATAGTGTAATGTACCAACCACTTATATTATTAGCGATTTTATCCTAACTTTGTTTTCCCGCACTAGTGCGGGAAAATGACACTTCCCAAACTAAATTGCGTGCGGGTATAGGGTGAATCACGCACGCTTGTAGAAAAAATCATTTATTGTGCACAGGTGAGTTGAATATAATCTTTTGAGGGTTGTGCATATCACATGGGATTCAATAGGGATGAATATACCTATCCACGAATATTAGATATTTTAAACATGAATACGTTGATACATAGAAGAATGGAACTTGATCTATTATTCCTCCATAAAATTATCAATGGTTACATTGATTCTCCTGAAATTGTTGCTCTGATTACGCTTTCCGCAAATACTAGAAGAAACAGAAATAGTGACATTTTTAAGATACCATTCTGTAGGACAAATTATGGCCAAAATGAATCAATGAATAGAATTATGAAAACAGCAAACACAAACAATTACCAAATTTAACTTTTCAATTCATCTTTATTGTTTCTCAGGAAAGCGATAAAAAACTGTTAATCACTTCTTTCACAATCTTCATCTTTCTATTAGTTTTAGCCTTCTACATTTTTTTTGTGTTAGTCTTCTTCATAGATATTATAATATGTAAGTGCTCTGTATTTTTATACTTTCTTTTTGTAAATTGTATAATTGGCTTGTCCGTTAATAAATAAATGAATAAATAAATATGTCAAAATATTCTGAATAAATATCGAAAAGCCGATAAGGCAAGGGACAGTTTTGGATCTGATCAGCCAGCACTCACTATGGCTCATCCCCTGCGTCTTCTAGAGATAATTTTGTAGGTACTAACGTAACTCTTCATGGTACCAAGTTATGAAATGATTCTTTGTATTGCGAAGTCTGTTTGTTTTGAGCCTCGTTTATCTGAACCACTAATGAAACAATTTTTTTGTTCAATGAATTGTTGCTGTATAAGGAATAACTGTTTTAATTCCTTGGCCTCCCAAGCGAGCTCACCCCGAGTCACCACTCTGTAGCCAAGGGTCGTGGCATTGCCCGGCGCCTTCTAGTCGGGGCTTGTTTTGCGAAAAGTCAAATTCTAGAAGCATTTCATGTAACAATTGGATAAATGACGTTAACCCCCTATTTCGACCCCGCTGAATCCGAAAATACCGTTTATCAAGTCGAAATTCCAACCGGAAGTGAGATATTCAAGATGGCGTCCAAAATACCCCTAAAATCTAATTATTTTCTACTTTCGGTCAGCTATACGATTGAGGTGTCGATGTCTATGTTTTCGGCGGTGTAAAATACGATGAGACACTCAAAAAATGATTTGGAGCATTGGAAGTTCATCGAATGATCAAATTTTGACGAAATAGACCAAAATTCCAAAGAACTTGTGAAAACGTGTTGCATAATGTATATGCTTGCATACGCTTTCGAGGGTGCTCAATAAGTTTATGAGCCAAAAAAGCATTTGAACATTGTCCAAGCCTTCATTTCTTATATTTTGAGAGAGCCCCTTGCAGCCACGAGTTCCAAATTCGGAAAATGAATGGGGAATAGGTGGCAAAGTCATCAGGATTGGGACATATCGTCCATCAACAATTTTCCAGCCGTAATTATTCGGGTCTTAGAAATCAGGATACTGATCATGGGCCTTAATCCACACTAGTATCTGAACATAACATTAACATCCTTCGATTTGTTCAATTTTCTTTTACCTGGAAGTAGCACCGGAGAATGTGTTGACGGAGGGCATCAGTGGTAGATGGCGAAAAGCATTCGCACTGTCCAAAAAATCGCAACATGGGCTGCGTCTGCCGTTGTAATGTCCGGTCCAACTCAAAATAAAAATGGTAGCAGTATCGAAACGGCTAATAGTTCTTATTCACCATGTGTCTCAGAAAAGGGACGCAACAAACCTTGTATAAAGATTGCATAAAGATTGCACCACAAACTGTTCAACCAAACGGAGATCATCGGGGGCTAGATCGGGAGTTTTTACAAGCTGACTGAGGAGTTTACAGTAGTTTTCTTCTATGTACTTGCTTCCACCGTTCTGTTTTTGTGACTGACGCTAACTTAAATGTAGTATCACATCCAGTGATTGCGTGGAAAGCCATCAGGTTTTTTATATGTTGTGGTGCAAGTTTCTTATATAGTTCGTGAATTGGAATATACTCCATGCGTAAAAACCGAAAGAGAGGCTGTTGTTGTTTCTGTTAAAGACACTAGTGTGATTTCATTATTCATCTATCACTTTGAAAGAATGAAATGCGAGGAATGCTGGGTGATGTGTGATACTTCCCGAGATAGAAAGTATATTCCAATTCATGAACTATGTAGAAAGCTCACATCACGACAGATCAAAAACCTGATGGATTTCCACGCAATCACCGAATGTGATACTAAATCTTGATGAGGGTCTGCCACAAAAACAGGACGGTGGAAGCAGTACATTGAAGAAAACTACTGTAAACTCCTCAGTCAGCTTGGAAAGACTCCTGATATAGCCCCCGAGGATCTTCGTTTGGTTGAACAGTTTGTGGTGCCAGCTTTATACAAGGTTTGTTGCGTCCCTTTTCTAAGACACATGGTGAAATAGAACTGTTAGCCGTTTTATACTAATAT